TTTGGACTCTTCTGTGCTAAACTCTTGATGTATACAGTTGTGCTAATAAATCAACTTTATCGTATATAAATACAGCATTTAACAGAAGTTAAATGCATGTTATTATGCATGTAAACTAACAGATCAACACATCCGGAGCAGATGTATAATTTCCTCCGGTTATATGTAGAATTGCAAATCAGCTTTAGTGTAAATATTTGCATGGAGGCACATAGATTAAACTGCACACACACTATGAGTAATGCATTGCTCGCATAAACACACACGTACTGCAGCCCAACATCTGTTACGTGTGAATTCTCTTCGAGAAAATGGGACACCTGTCTGAGAGACTGTCTCACTCTGACCGGTGGAGGAGGTTAAGGTCATGTTAGCTCTTAGCCATTACTAGAGCGGAGAGGGAGGAATCATTAAGGGAGAGAGAAAGAGAAGGGCAACTGAAGGAGACATAAAATGATGAGAGTTAAAAATGAAATCATCATGAATGCTTGGCTGTATTTCTCTGTTGTTATTGCTAACTAAATGTAAAAAATGTTTTTGTTCTTTAAAATAAAGGAGTAAAATCAAATATTAATATTAGATTAACAACTTCAACTTTAAAAACCTTGAAAATTAGAAATGAAATAATTTTAAGTTGAAGTACTGATATTACCAGAACTAAATCTGAAATAAAAATTAAGTCATAAAAATAAAACTAAATGGAAATATTACAAAAACGAATAAAAACGACAAAAGCACATCAAATTAAAACTTATACTAAATTTAAAATGAAAACAGAAAGTATGAAAATAAAAACTAATTTAAAATATGAATCAGTATTATAATAGCATACATAATAATAAGATGACACTACAGAATTTCCATTTTTCTTCTCTGGCATCACTGTGAAAACTCCCTTTTGGAACCTTTTTTTTTTAAAGAGTGTAAGTACTTAATCTCAAATATTTCTCCCAAAAAAAGACAGAAATGAGACTTGTATGAATTAGAAATGTTTGAGTTCATAAAAAAATAAAACATCTTGGCAAAAAAATTTGACATTGCTGAGAAACACATTTGAGAGTACTGGAGACATTTCCCCAGGAGAAAAATATGAGAAACAGGATACTTAAAGGGAATTAAAAATAAAATTAGCCATTTCTTTTCACCATACACTCTTAAAAATAAAGGTGATTAAAAGCTTATTCACAGCGATACCATAGAAAAAAAATTTTTGGTTCCACAAAGAACCATTCAGTCAAAGGTTCTTTAACCCTCATGTGGTGTTCGGGTCCTTTTTGCTCTGAAAAATTTTTATTTTTCCCGAAAATACTAGTTAATGTTATCGCATTGGACTGAAATTTTGTGACTTTGTTCACAAAGGGTATAACTACTTCTAAAAAATTTTTTGATCATTTTCATACTTTTCTGGGGGAGATTTTTCACCTTGTTCACACACACACACACACACACGAACTGGCTTCACCCTGCATCAAAATAATCTTTCTTTCATCTTCTTTCTTTCATCACACCTTCTAGACAAAATATTATGACAATAGGTATTGAGGCTTTCATGTTCTCACAAAGCAGACAAAAGTTTACTAATAAATGCTTTAGTACGGAGCCCCTAAAGGGACATGGTGGTGGAAAAAAATCAGATTGAGTGAAAAAATTTGGGGTGGGAGGAAAAAAAAGTTTTGCGAGGGAACGCAAAATATCTTTGCGAGAGAACGCAAAAGCCGGGTCCTTTTTGCTCTGTAACCTCGTTAGTGTGAAAGGGTTCTGAACACAACACAAGGGTTAAAGAACCATCTCTTTCTTACCTTTTTAGATATTAAAGGTTCTTTATGGAACCATTTAGACAAAAAGGTTCTTCTATGGCACCGTGAAGCACCTTTATTTTTAACGGTGTGGGGGATTTTACAGTTTGTCTTCCATACAATGAAAATGAACAGTGACCTAACATAATAAAAACATAATAAAAGTAATGATCTATATTACTTGTTTGCTATTACAAGAGCTATGTTTGAGAAACAGACCAATTTTGTTATTCACTAAAGTCTTGACTTGAAAATCTGCAGTGGTCACCATTCACTTGCACTGTATAGAAATGAGCAGCTTGCTTATTCTGCTACTCTTTTTGTAATCCATACAAGAAAGAAAATCATATCATATCAAATCAGATTTTTAAAAACACAAGAATTTAAGAAAATAGTCACATCATTTTCATTTTAGTTGAGCTTGTTTTTCTTGCCTTTTTGCACCTTCAGGCTGTGAAATTATTTGACCTCCTATTTCCCCAGGACAGTCCCGTTATTGCCGATCTGATGAAATCACATCAGTAAGCTCATAGTTCAGGCAGAACAAACAAAAGCACTTGAGGACATTTCAACAGAGAATAAGGAGACCCTTAGAGGCACACAAGTATCAACAACACACCCAAGGAGAGGTGCGAACGCTGTCTGAGAAACACTTCCCTTTTTAAACCCCAACAGCTGCATTCACATCTGCAACACCACACCACAGTACACAACATAAGCGTAACAAATAAAGAACCGTGTGTGGTGTGACTCAGACAAACAGCAGTGCTCCATCAACAAAAAGCACCCGGTGAGGATTAGACAACACAACCGGAGCGGATAAAAGGAAGAAGGTATCGAATCCGGTCTACGCAGAACACATGCCTTCACTTTCCAGCTTAACCACAGCAGCTGATGCAGTGAATGAACTGCGGTAGGGGACTTCAGCTGTTTTATCCCTGAACACATAAGTTAGGGAACAGAATAAAGGCGTCAGCTAATCTAAAGTGTATCCATTGACACAGGAAATACATACCGCCTAGTATTTCCTCATTTACACATTACACAGTCTGTGTTTTGACTATATTAATGGCAGTTGGAAAGGAGCCACATAAGTATGAGTCTACACCACAGAACCATGTGTTAGCAAAAAACCACACGGCACACAGTGGGAGGCTGCTCTTTCATTCACTGACTCACTCTGCAGAATAAACACAGCTCTTATCATCAATGGACGGAGAGGAAACCGCTGAAAGCCCCGTTGAGGAGCCAATTCACAGGTGATGAGATTTGGATGGTATACGCAGCTGTCTTGGAGATATAATGCGAGATATTGTGTATTAAAACAATTTGGGGATATCAGAACCTTAGGACCCAATCCTCAAATGAAACGCTCCATTAGCCGTGCGGTTTTTAAAGCGTAATTAATCCCTAAGTGCTGACAAATCAGTACATGGACAAACAACTGGCAAAGACATGATTCATTTTGACTGCCTGCTCTGCAAAGTCGGAAAGCCTTTTATTTTTAAACCAACTAATCACTTTAATTAATGAACAAAGTGAGGCACTTGTGAGCCACTAGGCTACTGTATGTGGGCTGAAGGATACGGGCATTAATGTAATTTACAATGTAGCGTTAAATGCAATGTTTTCATGTGAAATGAAAGTAATTATGTGGCAGAAGAGACCTAGACAGAAAATAAGAAAAGAAACAAAAAGAGCCTGAAAAAAAATGGAAAGAGACTAATTTTGACATAAATGTCCATAAGGACTTTGCTAATGAATCCATGTGATTGATTCATTGAAAAGAATCAATTAAAAAGAATGATTCACAAATTGTACATTAATATGGCCTCCATGCAAGGTTTAACGTACAGAAGAGTTTTGTTTGAGAATGAACAACTATTCAAAACGGGCTCATTACTTTTACATGACTTTTAAACTATTATTATTTATTATTTATATGATATTAAATATTTTATATAGTATATATACTAAGCAATTATAAGATAATATAGCATATATTCAGCAAACAGTTCAAAGGGTTTGGGGTCGGCAAGTTTTTGTTGTTGTTGAGAAATTAATTTACAAAGATGCATTAATTTAATAAGAAGTGACAGTTAAGACATTTATAATGTTACAAAAGATTTCTATTTAAAATAAATGCTGTTCATTCAAACTTTTTATTCATCAAAGAATCCTGAAAAAATGGTCTCTACTAAAATATTAAGAAGCACAACTGTTTTCAACATTAATAATAATAAATATTTCTTGAGTACCAAATCAGCATATTTCAATGATTTCTGAAGACTGACACAGAAGACTGAAATAATGGCTGCTGAGAATTCAGCTTTCCATCACAGGAATAAATTACATTTTAAAATGAATGAAAAAATAATTTTTTAATTGTAATAATATTTCACAATATTACTGTTTTTGTATTCTTTTTATTCAATTACTTATTCATTCTTTCTTTTTTTAATCAAATACATGCAGCCTTTGTGAGCATAAGAGATCACGAAACTTACCAACCCCAAACTTTTGGTGTGTGATAACGTCTCGGTTATGTATGGTAACCCTCGTTCCCTGAAGGAGGGAACGGAGACGTCACGTCGGATGACCGACGAAATTGGGATCTCGCTTAGAGAGACCGATGTCCTTCGAGTGTAAACTAAACGAGCCAATGCACATTGGCATGCGATTATTGCATCCAGCTGCTGCTGATCACAGCGTGAGTATAAGTAGGCAGCAGATGCAGCGCATATTCAGGTTTTCACTGAGGAGCCGAGCCGGTGACCCGGCCGCTCAGCGGTGGTACAGGAGCTGTGGCGACGGGACGTGACGTCTCCGTTCCCTCATGTGCATTGGCTTGTTTAGTTTACACTCGAAGTGGATTGGTCTCTCTAAGCGAGATCCCAATTTCGTCGGTCATCCGACGTGACGTCGAGACTGACCGACTGAAAGGGAACTAGAAAAATGTATATTGACTATAGAATTACCCACTTTTAATATCTCAACAAAATTCCAAATATTAATTTATTACCACATTTTTCATAACTGTGGGAACCCTGAGAAGAGAGAAGAGTCAGGACGAAACAAAAAGAAAATCGCTGTAAACTGAGGTGTAAAAAAAACCTTATTGTTGTACTGAGGAAAGTAAGGCAGCATATTCCCTCACTGCCTAAATCTGAGACCCCTCTCTGCTTGTCAGCTCTGCTTTCTCACCAGGCCTGTGGCTTACTCTTCAGCAGCCCCTGCCGTCTCCACTGGGAGTGTGGGCTCAGGTGGTAGGTCAGCTGACGGCACACCTTCTCCATGGCACCCAAAGCATCTCCCTCCTGACAAAGACAGGGAGAGAGACCACATCAATCAGGCTGTAACACACAGCAGGTTAATGGGAACTGGCAGAAGATCAGGGTATCTGAGCCCTCAAGGTAAAATACTAATTTCTTTGACATTTATGATGACAAAGGAGCAAAGCTATATGGACTGACCGACATGTCACAAACACAGTCTGGCTCTATCATTACGTCATCTGAGGTTAGGGAGTGCGTATGCATGTGATTTGGTAAAATGCATTAGCATGTAATGGATTAGCGACAAATTGATGTATTGTATGGCCATCTCTGGAAAGCTTTATTATTTTAACTCACATTCATCACTGCCTAAAGCAATCCAATTTGCAGAGAGACACGGACACTCATACACACACTGCCTCAAGTAACTGCCACACTCCTCTAGACAGAAACTATTTCTGCCAATGTTTAACACATAAATTACAAAAAAAAGAAAAGCGCCGCATATTCCTGCAATTCTGCCAATAATTAAATCTAAGGATGCACTGATATTACAATTCTGGATGATAACCAATAGGTGGCTAATAAATATTCAAATTCTATACTATTTTGTGAATTCAGGATTCATTTGAAATTTAGTATGAAAATGGATATTCATTTTGAGATTTGGTAAAGATTATATTTAATGTTGTTGATTATTTATAATAAACTACAGTATATGAATTCAAAGATGACTGCAGTGATAATCTAAATTTAAAAATAATTCAATATCTAATACCAATTGATACTAATGAATTTAATTACAAAATACATGTAAAAAAAAGTCTATAAGTGTTGTTACTGTTAACTAAAATGTTACAAATAATTTTTGTTTACAGAAATAAAATAAAATAAAACAAACTTAAAATGCTGCCTTGGCAACTAACAAAATTAGTTTAAACTTAAGTAATAACATGACTAAAGCTACAACTGAAATTAGAGCTAAACAGAAGTATATTTATTAAAAAAAAACTAATAAAAATGACTAAAGCTGATAAAATAATTCAAAATTCAAAATATTAAATTTAATTCAAAATCTTGTCAGTGTCGATAGCCTAGTGGGCAGTGTGCTGACATATAACGATGTTGCGTTGTGGGTGTCCTGAGTTCGAATCCCGGCTTGAAGACCTTTTCTGATCCCACCCTCCTCTCTCACTCCCCCTTTGCTTCCTGTCTACTCTACACTATCATATGTGACTCTGGAGCACAAAACCAGTCGTAAGTGTCAATTTTTCGAAATTGAGATTTATACATCTACTGAAAGCTGAATAAATAAGCTTTCCATTGATGTATGGTTTGTTAGGATAGGACAATATTTGGCCGAGATACAACTATTTGAAAATCTGGAATCTGAGGGTGCAAAAAAAAATCAAAATATTGAGAAAATCGCCTTTAAAGTTGTCCAAATTAAGTTCTTAGCAATGCATATTACCAATCAAAAATTAAGTTTAAATATATTTAAGGTAGGCAATTTACAAAATATCTTCATGGAACATGATCTTTACTTAATATTCTAATGATTTTTGGCATAAAAGAAAAATCGATAATTTTGACCCAATGTATTTTTGGCTATTGCTACAAATATACCCATGCTACTTAAGACTGGTTTTGTGGTCCAGGGTCACATATCTTAATAAAGGCAAAATGCCAAAAATAAAATCTTTTAAAAAATGTATTCAAAATATTAAAATACGTAAATAGTATAAAATAACGGAGCATATTTCAATTCATTATTATGAGCTGCAAAGGTGAATTCCTGGTTATGAGATTTTTTTTATTGTCCATTAACAGTAAATTTGTCTGGTCACGTTAATCACAAGTGAAATGTACAGAGGTTTATTACTGGAATTACATTGATTTGCTTCAGGTAATAATGAGGTTCAGTGCACTTGAGTGAATGAGAGGGCAGGGCACTGCTCATATATGACTAGATTAGTTTCAAGTACTAACACTTGTCTCATCTGTGGCTCCAACTAAAACCTACAAAAATGTCTCAACTTGTAAATGTAAAATTCACAGGATCAGGACCACTGTAGGCTTGCCGCGATAGACAGTGCTAACGGTTATACCGGTGTTAAGCCGCAACACCGGTTACGTCACTTGCCCACCGCGTCACCGACCCCCACCGTCGTTTTGATTTTTTATCGAAATAAAAATCATTTAGTTCAGTAAAAGAACAGACACTACAATTAAAAACTGAACGCGGCTGCTCAATGCAGCGTGCCGAACGACAGTCGCATCACAGATCAGATTTAATTTCTCCAGTGAGGAGAGTGAGTCAAGCTGACTGACAAGAAGAGTGAGGTGAGACAGACAAGAAGAGTGAGGTGAGACAGACAAGAAGAGTGAGGTGAGACAGACAAGAAGAGTGAGGTGAGACAGACAAGAAGAGTGAGGTGAGACAGACAAGAAGAGTGAGGTGAGACAGACAAGAAGAGTGAGGTGAGACAGACAAGAAGAGTGAGGTGAGACAGACAAGAAGAGTGAGGTGAGACAGACAAGAAGAGTGAGGTGAGACAGACAAGAAGAGTGAGGTGAGACAGACAAGAAGAGTGAGGTGAGACAGACAAGAAGAGTGAGGTGAGACAGACAAGAAGAGTGAGGAGAGACAGACAAGAAGAGTG